GATCCCGGACGTGGACCTACACACCGCTCATCAAGCCACACTGTGGCAGCATCCCACATACAAAATACAGGAAGCTTGGCACAGATGTTAGCTCAAGGACAATCTTCCTCAAGCAAAAAGAGGAAGATTAGCAACAGATTTTAGCTCAGGGACAATCTTCCTCACCAGAAAAAAAAAAAAAAATGACTAAAGAGCTGTATGTATATTTTGCGCTTAGCACATCTCTGTTCAGACCAGCCACATTTCAAGTGCTTATTTGAATTTACCTTATTATCTTATGTTTTAGAATTGACCTTATGAGACAATGCAGGACTCACCCGTGCAGATGGGGCCTCTCTCTTCAGTTTGGTGCAGGCCACATCATGTCTTAGGGACCCCCCCCCCCAAATTCATTGACTTCATTTGTCTGATCTCAGCAGGCATTTGAGTTTGAGATGCTCCCTGATCTGGACACTATGCCTGTCTTGTCATTGTATTTTTGTGTTCTTTTAAAAAGAGTGATATCATAATAGTAATCTCTCGAGTATGAGAATTCCATTAGAAGAGTAGATATACTTTACAGTTTACACAGCACATTCTCAGAGATACTAATCAGGTTAACACCGTGTCCTGCAAATGCCTTATTATTACCTCACTTAATGCACAGAGAGGTAAGTGGAACAGTGTTCTCTCCAGTTTTTCAAGCTTGGGCTCACGAGTTTGTGCCAGCATTCGCACAAGGACCTTCATCCTCGTGAGCTCCATCATCATTTCAAGATCAGCATTATTTCTTTTATGCATCAGGAATTCTTGAAACATTGTCCAGAGGGCAACGTTTTGCTCCAGCATAGCCAACTTTCTCCTCACCAATGAAACACCACATCACTATCCCCTGTCTTCCCCGCCAGGTGAGCTGCCCGTGAAGTCGCAGACCTGCCAGTAGGGGCTGTGTCCCCTGAGAAGACTAGGCCAGCCAGGGTGGAATATTAGATTCCTGGTCCCCATCTCAGGATCGTGCAGAGGCACATGGATATGGAATGGGATTCACTTGGTGTTGCCTTCCCTATTTAAGTTTCTCTTGCTATCTTTTTTTTTTAATCTAGACATCGTAGTTTATGCAAATTCACATAAGTAAGTTAAACACACAGATGATTAAGCTTCTCTGTGCGCTCAGTTAAAGAGGATGGCTTTCAGCCAGGTGCAAGCAGGTCAAGTCCCATTGAATCTTGAGTTGGGCATGTGCACATAGGTTCAGTCTCTTCCTAGAACGGTGGAGTAAATGCTCAAAATCGCTCAATTTGTCAGAGATGCTTTCTTTCTCAAAAAAACCTTCCTTGAGTCAAATAAGCCAGAACTCCTTGGACATCATAGGTGCTCAGGGAGTTTATCAGTTGAATCAAATGATTACTTGCAGAAGGAATAGGGATAGAGCAATTTAAAGGTGCTATAAGTGAACCAGAAACAAGGGTAAACTCTTAGTCTATAGAGAATTGAGATTAAAAATAATTTATTTTGGAATATTTATGAGATCATAAGGTTAGTGTTGAAATGCGATTTAAAAATATGTTTAATAGGTCAAGAACAGCCCATTATCTGTACCTAACCACCTTCATTCCATAGGCCCTACTGTATCAATTCTGCATAAGCCAGAAATCTCCCAGGAATGGATTCTCTAAGTAGAATTTAAACCATTTCTTTCCCATTTATCAACACATTTGTTTTTGGCCTCTCGTTTCTTAGAGATTTAAGAGGATAGAATAACAATTATTCACCTATGCTCGGAAGCACATTGAATTCTTATTTTTTTTTTTTTTTTTTTTTGTGAGGAGATCAGCCCTGTGCTAACATCCGCCAATCCTCCTCTTTTTGCTGAGGAAAGACGGCCCTGGGCTAACATCTGTGCCCATCTTCCTCCACTTTATATGGGACGCCGCCGCAGCATGGCTTGCCAAGCAGTGCGTCAGTGCACGCCCGGGATCCGAACCAGCGAACCCCGGGCCGCCGCAGCGGAGCGCGTGCACTTAACCGCTTGCGCCACCAGGCCGGCCCCTGAATTCTTATTTTTGTATGCTATAGTTTTAGGCTGAAGTGAGCTGATGGCTCGACTGCCTACAAGCTTCTTCTTGGCTCTGCTTGTCAGCTGTCATCAGCATTTTGAAGGAGTTGGAGTGGGGGTGGGGGTCTGGGTGTTATTGACTGGCAGTGATTGGATCAACAATGACCATGAAATGATAAGATCAAGATACATGTTATGCTTTGATAGCATAAGCTAATTTAAGTCTCAAGACTTTAGTGTTTCTTTATTTGCGCAGTGAGGGCTGCAACATTGTGCATTTAATTCACAGTAGAAAAAAAAAACACAGAGAGAAAAATGATCATTCACATAGAAGTGTAGGTGGTGATTCTCACCATATTCCCCAGAGGTGAGCTTAAGGTCTGAATCTGATGTTTCTTCAGAGGTCCTTCGTTCCCTTGTGGCTCCTACATTGTAAGCAGCTTGGTCGTTTTATGATCACTTTACCTAAAGATTCTAGTTCCTTTTCCCTCCTCTCTTCCTTCTCCTTTTCATTCTTCTATTCTTACTCTTATTGTTTTGCACAATATTTCCCCTAACTGCAAGCCAGATAATTCATTTGGTGTCCAGCTGAAGAAAACAATTTTCTTGCTGGAGTAAAAAACAATAGCTCTGTTGGATTTGAACTTTGTACTACAGTACCTTCTGGATGATTTAAGAGGTTTTCAAGGGTAATTTTGAGCGTAGGTGATTCTCACATCTGTGCTGATTTTGTAATCGAAGCTCTCAGTGCGATGTGACTCCCTTGTTCACATAACTGCAGTACGGAGGGGTTATGACAGAGAGAGCCTCCGGGCTTGATGGAGGCAGTGAGACAGGAGCTCACTGTCTGGGTGGTAGGACAGGAGCTGTCGGAGTCACTGAGAGGAGCTGGCATTAGGAAGTGTCACGTCACGGTCACGGGGGCTCAGAAGGCGTGCTGTGTTGGGCGTCCTGCAGATGCAGGAGCAGGACCGGGGCTAAGGTGGTGGGAGGGGGGTGCGGCTGGCCACGCAGGGATGCAGGCCGTCAAGAGCGCTGTGTGCTGGCCTGAGGCGTTTGGACTTGATCCCAGAGACACTTTCAACCCTTAGTTTATTCAGTAAGCGAGAGATCCGGGCCCCATTCTCACCAAGTTGACAGTCGAGCTGGCTACTCCGACCCGTCTGAGGGTTTGAGTCAAGGGAGAGACCTGGTTCGATTTGTTGTATATTCACATGCACACATACACATACACTTCAATTATAAAAGATAATATATGCACATAGTAAAAATATCCAACAATACAAAAGGGTGTGTCTCTGGTTCTCCTCTTTAGACAGAATCATTGTTATTTATTTTTTATGTATCCTTCTAAAGATATTTCTGTGCTCGCAGGCTATGTGGACACAAAGTATTCTTCACTTTGCTCTCTTCATTAACAATGTATGTAGGAGTTCATTCTAAATTTCCTCCTACTGATCACTTCATTCGTTTTTTTTGCTAAAGATGATTTGCCCCGAGCTAACATATGTTGCCAATCTTCCTCTTTTTTTTTTCTTGAGGAAGATTGGCCCTGAGCTAATATCTGTGCCCATCTTCCTCTATTTTGTGTGTGGGACACTGCCACAGAATGGCTGATGAGTGGTGTAGGTCCACACCCAGGAACTGTACCCACGAACCCAGGCCGCTAAAACAGAGCATGCTGAACTTAACCACTATGCCACAGGGCTGGCCCCTCTACTGCATTCTTTTAATGGCAGCCGAGCTTGACTGTACGTATGCATCATATGATAGCTAATCCCCAACTGATGCACACTGAGGTCATTTGCAGTCTTTTGCTACTTCAAACACAGCTGCAGTGCCTATTCTTGGGTGTGTGCTTTTGCACACACATCCAAGTATATCTTTGGAATCATTTTCTAGAAGTGGAGTTGTTTGGTCACAGAGTTTGTGCATTTTAAATATGCTAGTTGTTGCTACATTGCCTGCCAAACAGGTTATACCAGCTTGCTCTCTCACAAATAATGTATAGGAGTCTTTATTTCTTGAAGCCTTAGGTAGACTTTTTGATCTTTACAAATACTCTACATAAAAAAGAAGACTGAAGTTGGTCATCATTTCCTGTATTTAAAAGCCCAATTGTATTTCTTTTTCTAGGGACTGCAATTTTATACCCATCCTTATTTTTCTATTGAGTTGTCAGGGTTTTTTTTATTATCATTGATGTATGAGAACTCTTTATATATTAAGCAGATTAGCTTCTTTCCCTTTGTAAGCATTGTAAGTATTTTTTTTTTCAGTTTCTCATATGTCTTATGATTTTGCTCATGCTGTTGTCACCATTCAGAAAGTTTCTTTTTTATCAGATTTGTATTTTAGATTTATCTTATGAGGAACTGAGCCAAGATGAAGAGAAAGAGAAAAGATGTGTTTGTAAGATATTTTGGAGGTAGAATGGAAGGGCCATGCAGCATTTTTTGGGCTATGATAATGGGTGACTTTTGAAGTCTTTCTGAGTAGAAAGAACTGAATAACAGATGCCTAAAAACAAAGTTTGTATATCATCCACATTTAAGGGGCAGAAGTAAAAAGTGGAATCAAGGAAATAAAGAAGGAGCTTTCTGGTACAGCAAATGCTACTGAAAATTGGCAGTGTGTGCTTTGTGTCTCAAGGCTGCCAAGACTTCCTGAATTAGCCCTTCATACCGCTGACCTTGGTCCCAGCCCCAGTCCCACGTATCTGAGATGGGTGGATGAATAGTTATCATCCTTGACCATGAGCCTTGTCCTATATTTTAGGCAGAGTGCCTCTAAAAAACAATTCAGAAAATATGTATTATTAACTTTTTGATTTAAATAATCTTTTGATTTAAATAATCAAATAGTCTTTTAAGATTTAAAATCTTAATCATGGTAGCAAACTGTGGCATATTAATGTTTTTTCTCCCATCTTTTTCTTTCTCTTTTTATATTTTTTGGTAAAGAGACCATCTAGAAGCTGCAGGTCACATATGTATTCTGAAAGATGCCTTTGACTTTGAAAGCCCATCTGAAATCGCAAACCTCATCAAGGCTGAGAGCTTTGAGGCAGCACTGGCTCTTCATCTCTATCGAGGAGGCCGACTTCTGCAAGGTAACCCTCTTTCTCTTCAAAGGTGAAGCGCTAGAAATCATGAAAACCAGAAGCACCTATAATGTCAAATAAAACATGAATGAAACAGTTTATCCTGTTTATCTGGTTGAAAAATGGGAGAAACAGAATCATCTTTTTGGTTTGTTTTTCTTACTGAACAATTTTCTAAAATGATATAACTGTGCCAGTTGAGAATGATTTTTATATTGAAGCTGTTTTTACTGCAGTAAGAGTATTATCCTGAATGTTTTTGATGTATATTGCCTAACTCAAAGTATAATTTTCAGAAGTTAAAAATAGGACTCTTTTACAAAAATAGAGTGGGTACATATGAAAGATTTTATTCAGCTTATTTATTAATGAGGGAACTACTAAGATGCTAAAGCCAGTTTAGGTAACATTTGTGGAACTGGGAGTTACTGAGGTGATTTAATAAGGAATATTAGAATGAGGTTGCCAGGTTAGCTACAGAACTGATTCTTGTCCAATGGGGCAATAAACTGTAAGCTTTGGGGCTGTCTTTTCTACTGGTGTATTGGTCAGAGTCCTCCAGAGAAACAGAACCAAGAGGATGTGTGTAGATATATGTGAGAGGAGATTTGTTATAGGGATTGGCTTATGTGATTATGGAGGCTGAGAAGTCCCATGATCTGCCGTCTGCGAGCTGGAGACCCAGGAGAGCCAGTGGTGTACTTCAGTCTGTCTGAATTCTTGGGAATGCAGGGGGCTGGGGGCTGATTGTGTGAGTCCTGGCTTTTGAGTCTGAAAGCCAGAGAGCCAGGAGTGGAGATGTCCGAGCGCAGGGGAAGATGGGTGTCCCAGCTGAAGCAGAGAGTAATCTCCCTTCCTCTGCCGTCTTGTTCTACTCAGGCCCCAGTGGATGCGTGATGCCCACGTGCGCTGGGGAGGGCAGTCTTTTTCCCTCAGTCTACAGATTCACATGCTAATCTGTTCCAGAAACACCCTCACAGACACACCCAGAAATAATGTTTTACCAGCTCTCTGGGCTCCGCTTAGCCTAGTCAAGTTGATACAAAACATTAACCATCACAACTGCATAGAAATGATTTGCGTTTTTTCCTGATACAAAGCTGCAAAGTATTTAATGCAACTTCACTGAGTATGAGCTCTTAATTAATAGTAAACAGTGAAGTCAAACAATAGTACTTTCTCTTAGAAAATTAACTATCCATGGGGGCACCTTTAGACACTGCTTCCTAGGACCTTGAAAGGATATGCATGCTGTTGTCCTCTTGGCTTTATCGGCAACTTTGGAGTATTTCCTCTTAACAACTCCCAAGGCCATTCTGACTTCACTGAGAGTACAGAGGCCACCAAGTGAGGGCAAGACAGATAGTTTTGTGTAGTTAAGCAATGAGTGGCTTTTGCCAAACACGAATTAAATGACATGGCAGTGGTAACATTTTGGGAGATAGTATGTCATTTGAGGACCAAAATTATCTACAGTAATCATCACACTAGGATGAAACTTTAGTCAGCAAGATATGTCAAACTTCTGAAATTTTCAGAAGTTTCATTGCTAAAGGTGACTTTCTGTGTCTCCGCAATATACATCAACCCTGCTTTACTCGTCCAGCCCTCTCTCCTGCCTCCTGCACCACAGGAACGTGGGCTCTCTCTGGATGCTCTTTTCATGTGCGAGCACATTCTGTTATGTACTCATTTTTATTTCAGGTAGTACGTGCACATGAGAAAAAATTCCCCCCAGCACAGAGTGAAGCGTAACTAAATGATGTAGTACAAAAAGTAAATCTTTCTCCCCTCTCTTATCCCAGCTGTTTAATTTCTCATCCCATGAGGCAATCATAGTTACCATTTTCTTGTATGTTCTCCCAGAAATATATTATGTATACTGTTGTAGTTATCTGTTATTGTGTAACAAATTACCCCCAAAAGTTAGTGGCTTATAGCAGTAAATTTATTACCTGTAGTTTCTGTGGGTCTGGAATTCAGAAGCAGCTCTGCTGGGGAGTTCTGTCTCAGGGTTTCTTGTGAGGTTACTCTCAAGATATTGGCCGGGGCTGCATCATCTGAAGGCTTGACTGGGGCAGGAGGAGCCACTTGCAAGGTGGCTCACTCATGTGACCATTGGCAGGTGACCTTGGTTCCTCATTACTTGGGCTTCTCCAGAATGCTGCTGGAGTGTCCTCATGACAGAGCGGCCGGCTTCTCCCTTGTCTTTTATGACCCAGCCTTGGAAGCCATACAGCGTGAGTTCCACAACATCCTGTTGGTGGCACAGGTCAGCCCTCTTCAGTGTGGGAGGGGACCCCACAGAGCATAACTGCCAAGAGCTGGCCACTTTGGAGGCTGGCTGCCACTTATACCCATGCGCATATTGTATGTGTCTCCTCCCTTAAAACACACGTAAATGGGAGCATACTATATAGATTCAGCATCTTGCTTTTTACCACTTAACAATACATCTGGGAAATTTTTCTGTAGTAGCACGTATATAGATCTACCTCGGTCTGTGCAATAGTTGTCTAGCGTCCATGTGTGGGAGCTCCATCATTTAACCAGTCTTCAATGAATAGACATTTAAGTTGTCTTTAATTTTTTCTACTGCAATAATTGCAATGAATATCTTTGTACAGACATCTTAGCATATGAACTTGGGAGAATATATCTATGCTTCCATGTTTTTGTGACCCTGCCAGAACCATCCAAATGCATTGTTTTCTATAAATGGGGATGATGTTCCTGAAAGTATTACTCCCAGAGAGCTGTTTTCTGCTGGACAAGTATATGGCTTTGAATTCTGTTGTAAGTGTACTGGGACAGAGTCTGAGGTTGATCTCAACATAGGAAAGAAGCATCGAGTTTAACTTTCCTCACAGAGGCCGGGATAAAGCCTGCACCTCTTATAGCTCAGTAGGAGCCTTTAAGAGGTTATCTCTGACTGTTGCGATTCCTTTCTGCCGTGACAAGGCTTCAAGAACTGAGTTTGGTGATTCTTTTGACAATAAGATGTATTGTTGTCTATAAAATTATATCTGTTATTTCTTTTAAAATACACACACATGTGGAGTATATTGTCTTCCCACAAGTGGGATTGCTCTGTATGTTTAAGGACGTATCTTAGCGATCTTTCCAAATCAGCAGAGCTACATCTGCCTTATTCTTTTTCATGGCTGTGTGATATTCCACTGTAAGATTGCACCATATTTATTAAAAATCTCTCTCAGTTTTTGCTATTCCAAGCAATGCTGTAGCATCTTTGATTGTGTCTCTTTACTTCATTGTGTGAGGATATTGGTGGTATAAATTCTTAGGATAAACCTGTGGCCAGAGGACTATGTATTTTTCATTCTGATTGACACTGACAAATTGCCCCCTAAAGGTTATTCCAGTCCATGCTCTGTAACAGATGGCGAGGACCTCTTTCCCCTCACTCTAGTCAAATCACTGTTTTGCTTTTCCCTTCAAACTTTAGTTTTTGTCAACTTTACCAGTCTTGACCTCTTTTTCAAATAAATGGAGGAAAAGTACAAAATCATCCAAAGTTTTGCTTCTCTTACGAGTTCTAGGAAGAAAGAAGCCCTCTCTAAAACAAACCTGTTGCGCAGGGGGAAATGAATTTGTCATTCAATCTAACAAATATTGAGAACTGAAGCAGCACTACCGTAGTAAATTTAGTTTAACTTTTCTTTGTTTATTCCTAACTGTTGTCTTTCTGGAAATTAACGTCATTTATTCCTAAGGATGATCTCTTTGAAAGTCATCCTCTCTCTGAGTAGGATAACACAAAAAGCCTTAGGACTGTTGTCCGTAAGTAGAGAGAGCGCGGTTCTCCTTGTGGTTTCCACTGGACCGCGTATCACGGAGCTTCTTCTGTACCGTTTATGTACATTGAGCTGCCCTGCGCTCGCAACTGGCTGTGTGTTGTTTCATTCTGTGGCGGCACTATAAATTTTTAAGACAGTCCTCCAGTGGTTAAACTATATTTTTAAATATATAAGCATTTATTGATTTTTTTTTTATTACATAAGTAGATGGTTTGGAAACTTAATAAAAATACAAAGAAGAAAATACGGCACCTGAAATTTCAGCACCCAGAGATGACCACTGTTGGTGTGTGCACGTGGTTTTATTTATTTTGTATTTTTATTCAGAATTAGATTTGCCAAAAACATGCACTCTTACAATATAAACTTGCAACTTCTTTTAAAGATATTAATTGACTGTTTACCATGTGCTAACCACTGTGGAAATCACTTTAAATGCAGAGATGCAGCTGTATCTGACTCCTCTCTCTCTTTGTAGTTTGTGTGAGTATTTTTAAAAATTGCCGTCATATTATAGTTTAGTAACCTAGTTTTACCTGCCCTCATGTTAAGAGCATTTCCCTTGTCTCTGACTGGTCTTCTACAGTGTGATTATGAATGGTCACATCTTATTTCCATTTCTTCCCCTCAATTATAAACAATGTTGTGATAAACAGACTTCTGCAGAAACCTTTGGAGCCCATTTCCTTTAGGATTTTCTAAAAGTGGCACTGTAGGATCAAAAGGTACATGCATTTTTAAGGCTTTTGGTACATACTGTCAAATAATAAGTTGCCACATTTATATGGCTGTGCGTATTAAATATATCTAAATAAAACCATAATGACATGGACCAATAGAAGTTTGCTTTTCTTTTTAAAATCAGTATTTACTGAGTTGAATACTGGACCAATTACCTTACGAACTTAGAAATAACACATTGTATTTGTTCCTCTCTCTTGAACATGTCTGTAAGATTTTTCACATGTCCAGCTATCAGTCTTTCAGGTTTATGGGAACAGAGCTTCAGAGCTATCCTTAGCTAAAATGTAGTAGGACCCTGCTCCTATGCCGCATGCTTCCTAGGCTCTCCTTCATACGCCCTAAATGGCATACAGAGAAAACTTGCCAGTTAATCTGACCTTGGCAGAAAACTGGAGGAGAAGTGTTTTGATGAAGCTCTTCCTCTGTTTCTTGTTGAGAATCTGCCTTAGGCTTGACCGTACCAAGGAAGCAGGCAGCGTCAAGCGGCTGATGAAGAAGTGAGGTTCAGGAAACTACAATATTTTTTCTAAGCGGACTACTAGGAGTGACAAATTTTCAGCATAAGCACTGAGTTATGAAATGAAACCAGTTACTTGGGTGGCTCTGAGTAAATGTACTTGGAAAATAGATTGTTCGCTTTTCAGGCTTGTTCATTTCAGCAAATACTGTTTGAAGAGTTAACTTTTAGCTGGTGTCATATTAGGAGCAAGGGGTACAAAACTTAATAAGATAGAGTTCCTATTCTTGAGGATCTCCTGGTCTACAAATATATCCTAATGCCTCCTGGTACATGGCACAGCAGTGAAGGGGGAGGATTTACTTCTGAGGGACTTGGAGGAGGCTTCAGGGAGGAGGGGATGCATGAGTAGGGTTTTGAAGGGTTGATAGGAATCTGCAAACATAGTTTATATACATCATGCCACAGCAGATGGGTTCTAGAAATTTTCATATAATGGGTGCATTGCTATTAAAACTAACATGCTACGTATTGAAAGCTTTGTTTTCTTAACAATAGTATGAACTTTGAAAAAAATGGAAAAGTAAATGAGATATCCCACATTCCATTCTTCTAAGTGCTAATTTAATTCAGCGAGTTTCTGGATTTATATAGTTAAAAACTTCCTCAGTATCACAGTGATGCTGGCTGTCACTTACGGAGTCCACTCTGCGCCAGGCATGTCATATATATCGTGTCATTTCATCTCACCAGTGAGTCAGCTAACTATTATGTCTCCATTTCACGAAGGAGATGGCTGAGCTTCAGAGAAGGGGAGGAACTTGTTCAAAGTCGCACATTGGCAAAGTGGAGGACCAGGATTCTAACCCAGGGCTGTCTGGTGTCACCATCTGTGTTTTTCCCACTAAATTTGATTTGATATATTTGAGTTATTGCTGACTGGCTTAATGAACTAGAAGGCTGTCGTCTTGAGTGTTCTCAGAACTTTGAAGCAGCTTCTTTCATACTCAATGTAAATCTCTCAGGGATCTGCTTCTGTCTCTGGCAATTTCACTGAAGAAGACTTTTCCTGCTGTTTTCCTTAGCCTCCTACAGGAGCAGTTTTTATTAGGAGGAACTTTCCTTTGTGGCGTGGGGATGGTGTATGAGTGTCCTCTTGCTGCTGTAACAACTTACCACAAACCTAGTGGCTTAAAACACCCCACATTTATTATCCTGTAATTCTGGAAGTCAGAAAGCTGTCACTGGGCTAAAATCAGAATGTTGGCAGGGCTGTGTCTCTGTTGGGGGTTCTTGGGGTGAACCCGTTTCCTTACATGACAAAAGAGTTGCATGACTAAAAGAATTCTAAGGCCAATAAAAGGAAATATCAGTATCTTTTCCCTTAAATATTGAATCTCAGTGGAGATGGCTTGTTTGAGAAATCCCAGGATGAGCTCAAGTTACATCTGGTCCGTTTGGTGGTTTGCTGGCCATTGTCTCTTTTGAAATTTTTAATTGACCTTGGAAGTCCTTTTGGGGAGTCGCTTTTGATGAGCACATCGTTTCCCTTGATCCGTGCACAGTCGATGCCTCCCACGTCTCTCAGAATTAGTGTGCTCTGTGGCGAATCCTTTCACACTCTGCACACGCAGCATCTTGAATATTTTTGGTTCCACTCTAGTTGCGCCCTCCATGACTTAGCATTCCTGTTATAGTGCATGTTCCTTGAAGATAGAGCCATGGTGTCTGAGTCTCCTGCATCTGCCTCCTAGTTCCTCACTAGCGTGGAGCCTGTTACTATGATCAACAACAGGACCAAATTTGAAGTGCTCTTTTTATGTCATAAACCCCAATAGTTCCAGATTAGCCCATTTCCTAGGAATGATAAGCTTGGCCTTGATAGAGGGTGGCTAACAATATTTTTCATTTGTTAAAATTTAAAACAAATTGATTTAAAATAGTCCTGACAATGGTGGTTGGTGTCTCACCTGATTAACCCCCATGTCATGTTTATAATCATGATACCTATTCTACTCTTCAGGAGAGTTGGATAAAATTAAACTAACAACAAAACACAGTCCCTGTGTTCTGGGAACTTCGGTTTTTAATAACATCGCTTTGGGATGGGTAGGCAAGGGGTGTTTGCAAAGCTAAACTCTGCTTCGTTAACTTTTCTAATTTTGCAGGTCATGGAATTCCTTTTGGAATCATCTTTGGTGGAACTGATTTAAATGAAGATGTCAACCAGGGAGAAAAAAACAAAGTGATGGGAAAAGTCCTTGAAGAAGCCAGGTAATACTTGAGAGGATTTCACAGGAGTTAAACATTTAATTTAACCTTTTTGGGTGGAATTCATTGAAACAAAGTTGTAGGCAAGTTATTGCATTTCAGTAATGCTTCGACTACGGTTAATATTGGATGGACATTCTTAGAATGTTCTGCGTGGCAGAAGAGATAGAATTGTGGCTGTCTAAGAGATAATAATACAGATAAACTCGAGCTTTATTAACACCCAGATTAGGATCGACTTTGCATCAGGTTTGCTCAAGTAGAATGTTTTTGACATGGCTCATATCTATGCAGATTCCCGAGCTATATATAAACCATTGTGAGAAGGGCGACAAACTGGATTTCTCAGTGGGGTCACTATGGGCGTTTGGGGCAGGACAGTTATTCATTGTGGTGGGGGTGCTGTCCTGCACATCCCTGACCCCGGACACTACGTATCAACAGCCCCTGCCAGGTGCTGAAACAATCTAACAAACCTGCACACATTTCTAGCCTCTGGGGTGGGAATGGTTATTGCCCCCAGATGAGAATCAGTTCCAGAGCTGTACTTCCCAAACTTTTTCATGTTAAGTCATACTTAGAAAATGATGATATTTGTACAGCATTCTGGAGTGAACTGGAAGGCTTGATGGGAAAAAGAAAGTCACCCCATTTTCTCTGTATAACAAATACAATGATGATAATTAACATAGTAATGATAAAAGTATACAAATCCTCTATGTTCACATAAAAATTATGAAAAAAAAGAGCTAATGAAATCAAAAGAAAAAATAAATATACATGCATACCCAAAGCTAAGAACTCTTCTGTTGATCAGTACGCAGTGATTGGCAGGCCTTCTGGGTGATTCCACAGAAAGGCTGAGATGGGTGTATGGAGTCTTTCCTTCCAATCGCCCACTGCTGATGATGATGTGGAGAGAGTTTCACCTCCAATAGAATCACCCTGAACTCAGAGTTTACCCAGAGCCCAGCAAGTACTATTGACACATCCTTTCACCTTGTGTAAATCTTTGAATCATTATAAAAAACAAACAAAAATAAGTGGTCAATTTTAAGTGGACACAGTGCTTTATTAATTCTTTAAAAAAAAAACAACACTTTATTGAGGTGTGATTGACATACAAAAAGCTGTACATATTTAATGTATACAACTTGATGAGTTTGGAGATAAGTATATGCCCATGAAACCATCACCACCTTCTTTGCCATAAACATACCCATCACCTCCAAAAGTTTCCTCCTACCCTCTTTATTGTTATTATTTAATTTTAATTTTTATGATAAGAACATTTAACATAATATCTAACTTCTTAGCAAATTGTTAAGTTTACATTACAGTATTGTGAACTAAGGCTCTATGCTGCACAGGAGATCTCTAGGACTTACTCGTCCTATATAACTGAAACTTTGTGCCCTTTGACTAATACCTCCCTGTTTCCCCCTCCCCTGAGCCCCTGGTGACCACCATTCTGCTCTCTGCTTCTATGAGCGTGACTGTTTTAGATTCTCATATCAGTGGAATCACATAGTGTTTATCTTTCTATGTTTGGCTTACTTCAGTAAGCATAATGACCCCTTGGTTCATCCATGTTGTCGCAAACGGCAGGATTTCCACCCTTTTTAAGGCTGAATAGTATTCCACTATGTACATACTACATTTTCTTTATCTATTTGTCTGTCCGTGAACATTTAGATTGTTTCCATGTCCCCAATAATTGGCCAACTGTCAATTTTCTGTGGCTCGCCTATAATACTTTCATGGCTGAGAAGCTATGGTCAGGGAATCCAGAAGTCTTCAAGTCTCTGTGACTAGACCATTCCTGGTCCATACCGAGGACAGTACTCCAGGTTCTATTGTGCAGCCTAAGACCCCTTCTCTTCCTTTTTTTTTTTTTTGATAAGGTAGGTGTCAGTCTTGCCCTTAAAACTAGGGTTATAGTGGGATGTCATTGTATTTAAAGACCCTACTTCTTCCTGAGGACTTCCTGGACCTAAATGTGGCAATACAACCTTTTAAAATGAGAGAGTACACTGTTGTGTGTTACAATAAACAGAGGAAGATTGGCAACAGATGTTAGCTCAGGGCCAATCTTCCTCACCAAAAAAAAAAAAAAAGAAAACAATTTGGGCTTACCTTGACAGGTGATCCATCATTATAGGTTTTCTTGAAGTTGTTCTCATATTCCAAAAATTTATCACCTTTAGATTCATGCAGTTTATGCTGCAGTGTCTTACAGAAGGAAAATAAGTCTGCTTGGTAGAAGCAGTATTGAGTGAATTCATCTTATAGTATTATCATTAGCATTCTTCACTACATTGTTATCAAAACATACATTGATTTTTATTTTGGGGGGATATTGATTGAGGTTAGTGGGCAGGAAAGTTGCGTGAATCATAGATTTCTTGTCCAACACAATATGGCACACTTTTCTATAAAAGAAAGTATTGAACTTGTCTAGCTTTATAATGAGTGTTTCAGTTTTAATCAAATATCTTTAAATGGGTATATTTTCCCCATAAGGTATATTTTTGAACTTTTTTAGTATTTAAAACTTTTTTCTTATATGGTATAGTATTTGAACTTATTTTAGCATCATCTTTTTGGCTTATAAGTATTATAAAAAGTATTTGGTAATTATGAATAAGCAAAATTAAATAAGGAATATTTAAAATTTGTGGAAATTATTTTGTGAAGGATTATCCAAGTGCATATTAGAAAAATTTAATATCGGCTAAACAAATGAACAAAAGAGAGTTTGTATGAAATGAATGGCCTCACAAATACTTTCACAATTAGGAAATATATAGCACATAATAGGTTAAACCATGTGAAATTGCTGTTTTGTAGGTCAAAATGATTGAATACAGGTAATTACGTATATTTTTTGAGCTATAGTGTTACTAAAGATTTTTTTTAAATTTTTATTTATTTATTTATTTTTTCCCCCAAAGCCCCAGCAGATAGTTATATGTCATAGTTGCACATCCTTCTAGTTGCTGTATGTGGGACGCGGCCTCAGCATGGCCAGAGAAGCGGTGCGTTGGTGTGCGCCCGGGATCCGAACCCCGGGCCGCTGGCAGCGGAGCACGCGCACTTAACCGCTAAGCCACGGGGCCGGCCCACTAAAGATGTTTTTGGCAAACAGACTCATATGTCAAAGTGAGGTTATTAATTTGGGTGCCCAGATCGTCACAGCTACGGCCATTGGAGATGCTTTGGGTTGACGTGTCCTTTCAACATGGCCTAGCCATTTTTTGAGCGTTCTCTCACTTTCTGGCGCCATAAGATGTTCCTGGTTCATCCCACGCGTCCCTGGCCCTACTTCTGGAAACAGCCGTTTCTAGTAAATGTAGACCTCAGTGTTCATTATCCGCGGACTTTCTGTAAGTCTTGAATACCTTAGCGTAGTCTTCCTTTGGTGAAGCCAGTGGACTGGATTGCCTGCCTTTGGATATTCAGGGTGGATTAACTGAGGTCCCTGCTTCTCTCCTGCATCTGGCTTTCTGCCCTTCTCTCTGCTTCTCCGACCTCGCATGGGAGGAACAGGAAAACAGGAAGTTTGAGCCCCATTTGTTTATTTCTCACATGCACAACTTTGATGTGAGTGGAGATTAAACCTAATGGCCAATGACCACAAGTAATAAAGATTGATGGCACTTTAAATTTAGCTTCTTACCTTGTCTTTCACAATTTGTTCCAAAGAGCTGTTTCATAGTTATGTTAATTGAATTCTGCCCTAATTGTTTTCATTATTTTTGCTCATTTTACTAGATTTGCTGTTGCTTTCACAAAGTCAATGGAGGAAATGGCACAAAGGCAGTGGGTATGTGTTTATTTCGTGTTATTATTTTGGTTGTGCTGGGGAAGTCGCAGAATTGGAGAGCTGAAAGGCCGTTTTATTAGAACTGACAGTGTTCCCATCGACGCTGCCTATTGTAGCCACTGTAGTGTATTATGGTTCCCATGTATTGATGTTTTTTATTTGTACGTATACTCTTAAAACTTCACTGATTTTTTTTTTGATATTGTTATTGAATAGCACAAATAGCCCAATAGCCAAATGTTTTAATGTTTCGTCTGTTTCCTTTTTATGTGCTCAGATTGGGTGATTTACAGGCTGCACTGTAAATGTTGCAGCAACCTCATGTACACTGAGCATAACAATCTCTTAGGTGGCAGGCGTAGTTTCCTAGGTTGGACTATTTATTTGAAGAGCTTTAAAGAGTAGAGGACTTTGTAGCTCTACAGATTAATTCACTTATTGACTTTTTTATTCATTATGACTTAAGGGGCAGGTGAAATGAGCTGGGGGGAGACTGGGTTCTGAGTGGGGGGTTATATGAAGGCATGGTGGAGTTGGTGCCTACAAAACTAAAGAAAAAGCCAACCCCAAGGTCACGTTCCTCTGGTGTACCGTAAGCCCAAGGCTGCTCTCTCTGGTGGTGAGCCTGTCACCAGCATCGCTGGTCTCCATGCTTTGCCGGCTCATCCGCTGTGCACAGCACTTCCGCCCTATCATTTGTAGGCATTATTCCTGTTGGTGATATTTTACAGGCTATGCACGTCCTTTATAGAATTTCAATTTGTAAAATTTAGCATCTGGAAGCTGCTGCATTGGGACACGGGCACAACGCAGCCATCTGTGGGACTGGTGGTCCCTCGCCAAAGCTCAGAATACCACGTGTGTGTGAACATGAAGATTCACTCCTTCTAGAGTGCGCCTTCTTAAAACAGTCATCCAAACCAGTGGTTCTCAAAGTGGGGTCCCTGGAACCCCCAGGGAGGGGCTCCCTGGGGCTCTTTCAGGGCCTCCACAAAGTCCAACCTGTTTTCAGAATAATGCTAAGACGTTTTTTGCCTTTTTCACCATTTGAAAAGCAATGATGAGTGAAACGGCCGACACCTTAATGCTAATGGAGGCAGTGGCACCAATCTGCACTAGTGGTCGCTGGTTATTCACTGCCACCCATTTGTAGTTAAAAAAAATCACTTAAGAATCTTTTTGATGAAGCAATAAAAATTGTTAATTTTATTAAATATTAACCTTAGAATACGTGTGTTTTGAATGTTCTGTGTGACGAAACAGGAAGCATGCATTAGCTCTTCTGCTGCATTCTGAACGAAGTATAATGGTGATTTTCAGAAAAGGCCTTTGTGTGGTTGTTTGAGTTGCAACCTGAACTAGCCACTTTTAACGTGATTTTTATCTGAAAGAATGGCAGACACACTATGGTCATTCAGACTTGGGCATTTCACAGTCATTTTCTTAAAAATGAATGAATCAAACTAGTCACTTCAAGAAAAACAACTGGCAGTATTTATTGCCAATGATAACATTTGAATTGTTGAGCACAAATTAGAATTTTGAAAAGCCACCATGAGGTCGACAGCTTTCCTGTAAATCAGGACCTTCCTGATGAGATCAGTGATCACATTAACAAACTTGATTCTTTTTTTTTGGATGTTGTATAATGAAATGTTTCAACAGTTGGAAGATCTAGATCACTCAGTGAACCAATATTTTTCAAATGACTAATATGTGGCATTAGAGAATCATGCATAGGGAAAAGATCCATTCAACGTGCCACAGAGACCAATGGGCTTTATTGTAACAAAGTGTGGTGCAATATCAGGTTCCATAGTGCAGCTAACCTTTAAGAAATTATCATTTGTTGAGTTTTGGTGTAGTATCCAAGAATAATGCCTATAAAGACCTGAAAAGGTTATTAGAATACTACTCCCCTTTCCAACTCCCTATCAGCAAGAGGCAGGATTTTCTTTATATATCTCCGCCAAAACAGCATATTGAAATGGATTGAATGGAGCAGCAAGTATGAGAGTCCAGCTGTCTTCTGTTCAGACAGACATGAAAGTGAGCTTTCACCTGTTGAAGCCTGTTCTTTCTCGATGAACTTATTGCCCTTTCCCCAACCTTCTCCATCTTAAACGTCACCTTTGTCCGTAAATCCCATGACCCTCCAACATTGATATAGATGTGTTCACTTACTGTATCAGTTATTTGTTGCCACATAATGAATCACACCAAATGTAGTGCCTTAAAACACACGTTTATTATCCTTTGTATTGTCTGGGCATTTCTGGCCTGGTCAGCTCAGCTAGGCTGGGTGGTCCAAGATGGCCTTGCTAGTGCCTGGAGCCTCAGCTGGGATGGCTGGGACAGCTGAGGCCTCTCTCCATGTGATCCGTCCTCCTTTCTGAGGCTCAGTGGCAGGAGAGAGCAGGTGCCAGTGCACCATCACTCCTCAAGCTTCTGCTGTGTGATGTTTGCTAGTGTCCTGTTGGCCAAAGCAAGTCGGGGAGTGGAGATAGAGTCTCTACCTCATTATGGAGGCTCTTTAAGATGGCCTTGCAAGGGCGCGGATGTAGGGAGAGGAGGCATTTATGTCTATTTTAATAACTTGCCACACTTAGTGCTTATCCCTGATGATTATAACACCTCCATCCTTAACTTTTCTCCCCATGTAGTTATGAGCTCCTTGAGAACAGGGACCAGGTGTGGTTCTCTAGTGGATCCCCGGAGGGTAACATACTCCTTTGTGTTCAATAATGCTAGTTGAATTGAATTGGGCGGGAACTTTAGATCCTTCTTTAGAACTTTCTATTACAGAAATTTCCAAGCATCTACACAAGGAGCTAGCATAGTAGTGTGAACCCCTATGTACCCACCACCTGGCTTACACTTCTTCAATTCTTATTTAATCTACTCTCATTCTCCCCCATTCCTATATACACACACATGCTTTTTGTTTTTCTGGAATATTTTAAAAAATCACAACCATCATGCCATTTTACCCGCAAATATAGGCTATTTTACCTGTAAATCCACCTTGATAAAGACTTTTTTTTTTTATATAAGCACCATGTTGTGGATCATTTTTGTGTGGGAAGGCCACAGCATATAAGGAAGAAATAAAGAAGGACTCAAGAATATTAACATGATTTAAAATTTTTTTCAATAAATTTTGGGAGAACTTGAGTAAAGGCATTTGGGTGGGGAAATGGAGAGGACAGAATCTTTGCGTTCCAGACTCAATGACTTAGATGTAAATATTGGACTCAGGGTAGATATTGAGAATGTAGCTCATGAGACAATGTGGGGTTGTCCTCGGAAGAGGGCACAGTTGTAGATATAGATCCGGACATCATTGGCGTCATGGTGATTGTTGAAGCCTGAAAATGATTGTTCTTAGATGAGTTTAACTTTTAGATATAATTGAGAAAACTGTACCAAATGCACAGATGAATTACATTTTGGGCAGGCTTCGCAGCAGTAGTAATAATATCTTAGCAGTGTGCTGAAGGAAGGAGCATCTTACATCTCGGGATTCAGTTGGCCATTTGCCGTCACGCCGGTGCTCAGCCACGCCAGATCTCCTCCCATCCTGGGTTAGCAGTCTTTGTTTTCAGAAAGGCACTCCAAATATAATAACAAGGCATTTGACACAACAACTGAGAAGGCAGCAAAAATTGTTTGGTCTCAGATGATGATGTAAGAGGCACTTTAATAAAAGCTAATAAAAGAAGGGATGAATTTGTTTAGAGACTTTCAAGTGGTGGAGGTTAGTTATTAAATTCCAATGTGAACCTGTTTCTTTTTTTTTTTAATTTTTATTTATTTATTTATTTTTCCCCCAAAGCACCAGTAGAAAGTTGTATGTCATAGCTGCACATCTTTCTAGTTGCTGTATGTGGGACGCGGCCTCAGCATGGCCGGAGAAGCGGTGCGTCGGTGCGTGCCTGGGATCCGCACCAGGGCCGCCAGCAGCGCAGTGCGCGCACTTAACCGCTAAGCCACGGGGCCGGCCCTGAACCTGTTTCTTAATACTGCTTTTTGTACATTTTTTAGTGGATGATTTTTCAATAAAATTCAGCTCAATACCTTTATTTGATTCGTTTTTACAAATGAAAACGATGTATAAGTAATATAAAGGTTCATTATTCAGCCATATTTATATAATCATTTTGGATGGATTTTTGTGGAGAGATTGTTTATTTATGTATTCGGAACAGTGATACAGTTTTAGAGTAACTAAGTCTTGCTCTTCATTATCGAGTTGCCAGCCTTGGTCTTTATTCTTGTATTCTTTATTTTAGGAGCAGGCTTGGCTCAGGTTGTAGTCTAGTTAATTCTACCTAATTATTATCAAATCAGAATCAAACTTCAGTAATCCCAGATTAGGAAGATTTATGGGGGGCCGGCCCCGTGGCGTAGCAGTTAAGTGCGCGCGCTCCGCTGCTGGCGACCCGGGTTCGGATCCCAGGCGCGCACCGACGCGCCGCTTGTCAGGCCATGCTGTGATGGCGTCCCATACAAAGTGGAGGAAAATAGGCACAGATGTTAGCCCAGAGTCAATCTTCCTCAGCAAGAAGAGGAGGATTGGCATGAATGTTAGCTCAGGGCTGATCTTCCTCACAAAAAAAAAAAAAAGAGAGAGAGAAAAACTTACGGCATTTGCTCCTTATTGCTTTTGTGATTTCAAAAGAGGGGATATTTATTATGTAGAATTTTTATAGGTAAATGTAGTTTTGAGCATAAAATCTGGTCTGAAGCTTGTGTTTTCTCAATCTTCATTTAAATGAGAACACCTGTAAACACAGGCACATTCTCAATACCAGTGCTGTTCATAGAAATTTAATGCAACCTGCAAAGGTGAGCCATATATATAATTTGAAATTTTCTGGTAGCCACATTTTAAACAGTAAGTGGAAACAAGTAAAATTAGTTTTAATAAAATATTTTATTTAACCCACTGCCTGGAGTTAGCAAAAGTGCAAAGTTGGAGGGTACTGTCCCCAAGACTG